CTCTTATGCAAAACTACAATAGTAAATATGGTTTTTCACTTCAACAATACATCCTGGCAAACTCTCCACAATCAATTCAGTGAGAAACTCCTTTTTTCTTTTTACCCGCTTAACTGCAGTATTCATTGCATATTTATTCAACCAATACTCTATTACTGGACAACTGAGCTATTTCTAGTCTTTTGTTGTGACAAACAAGGCCTCATTTTATACTTATGCAGGTAGCTTTCCAGAAATAAGATTTCCAAGTTAAAGGTAAACAAATTTGTGGTTTTGGTAAATACTACCAAATGTCTCTCCACTGAGATTATGTCACTTTGCATTTCTACCAGCAATGCATGAGAATGCCTATTTCCCCCTAATATCACCCACAAAATACAGTGCCAAACTCAGGATGTTTAATAATCTGGTAGTGAATTTCTCTTTTTATGACTGAGATTGAACTCTTTTTATTTAATTTCCTTTCCCATTCACACCTTTTGCATGTATTTCCACTGGTTTGATGATTTTTCCTTATTTCTAGGAGCTCTTATTATTAAAGAGCTTTCATTTGTCTTTAATAGACATTATCAATACTTTTCCCCTTTCAATTTGTCATGTAACTTTTGATTTTGCTTAGGGTAAAACACAATGATTTCAATGAAGGCATATATACAATAAAAAGTCAGCAATTTGAATTAGGATACACATCAAATTTTTCAAAATTACATAAAATTGTAGACAGGGAATTTGAACTCATTTTCTAAAACGCAGGCTCAGATGGCTTCATCAAGCAGCTTCCTTACTAAAAGAAAATCTCTCAACTGCTAGCTTTCTTAAGTGGGAAGAGCAAATTCTACCAAAAAAGTTTATGATGTATATATGTAACCATATGTATATACATATACATATGCTGGCAGTGGGGTAATAAAAAATGGGAGGAAGACAGAGGAAGAGGAGATAAAAGGGTTGAGTAAGAAAGAGGAGTACACATAGCAAGATAGAGAATACAAGTGAATAAAAAAGAGGAAGAAAGAGTGAGTTTCAGACCAGGACAGATGTTTAACATCATCCACAAAATTTAGATATAATGAATGGAGCACCTGACCCAGGCTCAACAGCAATATACTTCAACCACTTAATAAGCCATGATTACCTATTACATACATGGTATGGTACTAAAATCAAGGGGGTTACAGAGAAAACAAGATATTTAATTGCAAATAAATATAGAAGTTTTAAAATAGAGTAATACATCAAAATAGCTACTCTCTTATAGACCACTTAAATTCAAAGAGTCTTTATTAGCACTACAGTAAAAAACTATGGAAAACATAAATTAGGCATTTGAAGAAAAAACTCAGAGAAAAAGTATTTTAAATAAACAGGTCTAAAACTACTTTAAAGTAGGCAGGTCTAAAAATGATAACCTTATCTCTTGGCTTTTTTTGAAAATCAGTACCACTATTGGGCATTTTACAAACTCTTTTATGAGATGAGTAATTCAAAAGTCCGAGATGGCTAGGGTGAGAAAGATCTTCCAAAATGAGTCTTTCAGACCTTGAGAGATTAGGAGCATAATCAGAATTTTCACTTGGACTAACACTAGAAAAAAAAAGAAAAAATACATTTTAGTTCTTGGATACTTTTAAGTATTTACTCTAAATTTCTACATATTAAGTAAGAAAATAGATAAGCACCTGAAATATTGCTGGAAATCAGATTCCAGAAAAGAACTTGAGGCATTTCAATAAAATTTTCAATAAACCATAATTAGTTTTAAAACTAGCAATCTATGTTTCTGGAGCCTCTATGCTAGAGTTACTTAAGATTCAAAAAACAGTCATAATAAAAGATTAGTAAAGCTTACACATATATTTTATACTGAGTCCTAATATATTAAAGGTCTTAATTTATAAATACTTCTATAATAGTTCTGTTCTTCTTTCTAAACCGAAAGCTATATTCAAAATCATTATTTTTTAAATTATGGAGCATTATTCCCTATTCTGGACACACAAGAAACACAACAAACAATAATGATATTCAAAAGTTTTACAATTCTATACATAATTTTACTCACTCACCTAGACAACTCTTCCCCTAAGCTCTGCAAACTCCATTCTGTTATCTTCAGTTCATGTCTTAAGGAAGCAACATTTGCCAGCAAACTTTCTTCTTCATTATCTTTATTATAGAAGTCTGATGAACTAGATTCCATTTCTTAAAGAAAGAAATGAATTTCTTGTACCTTGCCTGAAAGAATCTGTGATGTCAGTCAAAATTCTCTCACACTAATAAATCTTGAGTTATTATTTTTCTATTTCAAATGTTGTGAAATATTTCATGGTAATTTACAACAAAGCAAAACAGCCAGCAATAATCAATTTCTCTGTAGTGTAAAGCCATAATGGAAAGTTCAACAAAATTTCAATGAATCAATTTTTCATTTAAGCCAGGGACTACTTATTACAATTCCCCTTTTCTAACCATCTTCAATCTTTCTAACAAGTGTGTAAACTGTTTTTATTTCATGTTAAAGGTGAAGAAACTAAGAATGAGTCAAATAACTTGCTTGCATGTGCGCATGCTCAATCACGTCTGACTCTTTCCAACCCCATGGACTGTAGGCCGCCAGGTTCCTCTGTTTGTGGAATTTTCCAGACAAGAAATACTGGAGTGGGTTGCCATTTCCTACTCGAAATAACTAAAAGGTCACACAAACTGTAAATGGTGGAACCAGGATTTGAACCTAGGCCATCATGACGCAAAGATCTTTTAATTATGTCACACTGCAGTTTTCTTATTTATTATAAATTAATTTCAATATGAAGTGTTTGAACTTGTTCATGTTACAAGCTCTGAACATCTGACAAAATTGGTATCATAACACTCATATCTTCCTAAAGGTAATTTATTACCAAATAAAGGTTATCCCCTTCTCCTATTCACCATGGCGATAAAATTTAAAATGGTATGCTAACATTCACATAACAACCACAGAGATCAAAATGACATTTAGCAGGTTAACTCACAAAAATAAATAAGAAAAGTTTTTGTTTCTTCAACTGATGGGTATCTCAAGGGTTGTGAAATTCTCTACTAAGTAGCTTTGCACATTAAAGAATCATGATAAATACATTTTATTGCTAATAATTAATATTCATAATTATTGTGTACTAAGACATGTTATTAATAATACAACTTAAATGAAAGCTTTATAATCTCTACCACTCCATCTTCCTGAATAATCTTTAAATTACATTCCTCTTTCAGATCCCGTTTACCTTTGTCATTGAAGCTTCTCTTTGATCACCCTTCTAGAATTCTGACGACATCTCAACCCCCAAAAGGTTAGGAGTCCTGTGTATTATAGTCAGGACTGTAAGGCACTTATAGTAACCCAATATTTTCAGTGACTAAATGATGATTACAAAACTGTCCTTCCTTCTCCTCACCTAGCTAAAATAACAAATTTACTCCACACTCAAAATTTCTCAGATGTAGGAAGATTAAAAAGAAAACTTTCATCTTACTGGAATAAACTGTGGCACGAAATTATATAAGATACTATGAAATCTTAGTAAAGAAAATATTTCTTTCCTCTTTCCTCTTTTGTTTCCAAAAATTTGTTTCTGCTTAAATGAGAAAACTACCAAACAAAAGTCAATGGTTCGGGTCCCCACTCCGTTTTTTTCTAACAACTCTAGTTACCTACAGGATGGTGAAGGCTTGAAGAAGGGTAAAGAAAATTTGGGCAAATTCTAACATGCCATTTTGTTTCTACTAAATCAGGTTTATGTAAATTTTAACCCAAGAATTCTCTCACCCTTCTAAAGGATCGATGAAAACGTTTGATATGCAAATATATTTTCATTTTCCTAGTGGGCCATTTAATATCCTCAAATAAAGATTTCTCCTCCCTTCAACTTAGTTATAAAAGTCTAGCTTCATCGCCTGTACATACGTGGAAAAGCACATCATACTTCTTACAGGCCCTGACATCTTTGGGCCTTAATTACAATGCGTTTGCAGGTATACACAGGCACACACATCACACCGAAGAACAAGTGTTCATTATACTCGCTGTATGTAAAACAGATGGGCTGTAGTCGACAAGGATTCCGCATTTTGGAAGGCCATTCAAGGCTTTATATAGCACTGTTCTGTATCAAGAGTGCTCAATTTGACAGAACTGGCCCTTAGTGCATCTGGAAGCAGTGGAGGAAAACATGAACAACTTCCTTCCCGATTTTTCTTCTACTAAAATACGACCCTGCAGAGCAGCGTGAGCAGCAAGGACGAGGGCTAGATTAAACGCATCTGAGGGAACCGAGAGGGAAAGACCTGTACCTCCTCAGGTAGGCCAGTTTCCACCCTCAGGGGCAGTCGCTCACCACAAGTCGCAGCTGTGAGAGAGACCCACCGACGACAGCGCACGCCGCGCTCTCCTTTGCGTTCGGAAACCTGCTACCCTCTCCCCGGCCCCAAGCGCGGAACGCCAGACACACTATGGGAAACCAGAGAATCCCGGTAGAGCCGAGTTCGAACCGCCGCGGGAACCGTTGGGAACGCACCTCCCCAACCGCAGCCCAGCCCCCCGCGCAGCCTTAGCGTGAATCGACGCCGGACGCGCGGGGCTTGTCGGGAATTGTGGTCTGGGAGCGCGTCCGAGCCTGCCTACCTGGAACTACATTTCCCACAATTGCCACCACGACGCCCATTGGTGTGAGGCCGGCAATGGGAAGCTGCGGAAGTCTGGGTGTCAGGCGGTCCGCGCTGGCGCGGTGCCTGAAAGGGTGTGGAAAAGGACTGCTGGCTCCGCCTTCAGTCCTTACGCTTTGTAGACAGGCGTTTCCCTCTCTGAGAAACGCCCCTCCGCCCAGGCCTTCACCTGGAGCTTTTTCAGGCTCCTGGTTTGCCTGCCAACCACGAGGAGTCCTGGAAGGAAAAGCGGAGCTTAAGCGCCGATAACCCACGCCTCTCAACGCCTTTCCCAGCCCGAGATCGCCCAGGCAGGGATGGGCGATAAGATCCGGCTACCCTTCCCCGTGGTCCTCTTGGCCGTTCTGCTGCAGCCTAGGGCGGCCGGCTTCACTCCCTCCTTAGACAGCGACTTCACGTTCACACTTCCGGCGGGCCAGAAGGAGTGTTTCTACCAGCCCATGCCCCTGAAGGCCTCGCTGGAGATCGAGTACCAAGTAAGTGTAGATGTTGAGCCAGCCTCCTTCCTTTAGCCGAACTGCACGTCGTCACCTCTCACCCGCTGAGAAAGTTTTTTGGGGACCGCCCGGCTGCTAAAGAGGCGAGGGCCGCCCGGAAGCCGGGCAGCTGCGCGCCGGCTCTCGAGGCGCTGCTCTCCGGGGGCTGGGGACTAGAAGTTAGGCGGGATCTGGAATTGACTACCCGCCCTCTCCCCTTTCCTCCGGTGGGAAAGAGGCCAGCTCTGGTGATGTCGGTGGGTTTTCTCTTTGTTTAATGATTCGTCCATGCCTTTTTAGCCACGCGCGCAAGTACCGGAAATCTCACAATTCAGGCCTAATACACGTTCTGTTTAATCACTGGACAAAATGACAGTTTCTTTAATCACCGCCCCCAACCCTCACTTAATTTAGGTATTATAAATCTATACTGTTACTTCTTCAGTTAAGGATTTTTGAATAGTGACCATGCGATTATCACTAAATCCTATTTTGGAATATTTTGAAAGAGGCTATTGGTGTGTTTAATGGTGAATTTCCTTCCCAGTTGTATGTGTGTGTCTGTTTGTGCGTGTGCTCAGGCGTTAAGTTGTCTCTGACTCTGCGACCCCATGGACTGTAGCCCCCCAGGCTTCTCATTCCGTGAGATTTCCCAGACAAAGAGTACTGGAGTGGGTTGCCATTTCCTTCTCCAGGGGATCTTCCCGGCCCAAGGATCGAACCGGCATCTCGGTTCGATCGAACCTTGGCAGGCTAATTCTTTACCACTGAGCCAATAGGGAAGCTCTCTTAGTTATATACCCAAATAAGGTCTAATTGTATATTAAAGCTCTGTAATCTTTTCTTCAGCATTCTAAGCATTTCTCCCATATCATTATTTTATTTTTAATAAGCAAGATGTTATAGGGAATTGCCTTAATTTATGTAGTCACTCTGGTAGAGGGTAATTTCTTAGAAGAAATCGTTAGCTCCAGTACGGCAAATTTCGATGTTTCTAGGTAGCACTGCAAAAAAAGAAAAATGCCTTGATGTGGTTCCTCTTTCAACTTTTTTCACGTTACCTAATTTTTAATCAGATGTTAATTTTTTATAGTTGATGTAGAGAATCTTTTTCAATAACAGGTCCTGTCACATTTAGAGCAAAATAAAGTTATTTAGAATTTTCATCTGAAGAAACTTTAGAATTAGATTATTTATAGATGAATATGGCTTCCCTGGTGGCTCAGACTACAAAGAATCTGCCGGCAATGCGAGAGACCTGGGTTTAATACCTCCATTGGGAAGATCCCCTGGAGGAAGGCAGGACAACCCACGCTACTATTCTTGCTTGGAGAATCCTCTTGGACAGAGGAGCCTGGCCGGCTGCAGTCCATGGGGTTGCGAAAAGTCGGACACAACTGAGCAACTAAGCAGCAGCAGCATGGATGCATAAGGTAAGCATAAAGTGTCTGAAACTACAGTTAGTGAGCCAAGCTGAGGCAGGAACTCAGCATTTCCTGATTTCCAGTTCAGTTCAAAAGTTAATTTACTGAAGATTTACCACGTGCCAGTAATGCCTGGCGGCGAGGACATAGAGGAGGGGACAAACGAAAGAGCCCTTTTTAGGGATCTTAATATTTAAAGGTTACTGGCTTATAAACAGGGGCTTTGCAGGTAGAAGTGTGGTAAAGAATCTGCCTGCCAATGCAGGAGACTCAGAAGAGGCAAGTTGGATCCCTGGGTCAGGAAGATCCCCTGGAGTAGGAAATGGCAACCCACTCCAGTGTTCTTGCCTGGAAAATAAAGTATGGTTATATGCTGTTGGAGAAGGACTTCTCCGGGTTTTCAGAAAAGAATTCCTTGAGAAAATAAATAGGAACCCAGAAAGATGCTTAGGTGAAACAGGAATGCAGGGAAGAAGGGGCATTCTAGGAAAAGGAACAAAATGAATAGGCATTTCTGAAAATGCACAGTGTTAGTGTTCTAGTAGTGGGCAATATGTACTGGGCACTACAAGTCCTGATCTTAGGGGCTGGACCTCTTAAGACTATAAAGTCTAGGTGAGAACAGAAGAAAAAGAGATTGGAGAGGTCAGGAGGCTGGATCATGAATCTTAGCTTGTGTGCTATGCTGAGTAGCTTTGACCTTTGTCTGTATAAGGGCTACTGAAGATTAAGCAATGTGGTAACAGTTGAAAATGTTTTACAGTGTGGAATATGGATTTAAGAAGGGCAAAATTAGAGGTAAGGAAATCAACTACAGGGTTAGAAAAAGAGTCTAGATAACGAAACAAGTTGTATTGTTCAAAATTCATCAGTATTTACCCAGGTATTAGGAAAGAAATTGGGACTTCTGTGGCAGTCCAGTGGATATGACTTCACACTTCCACTGCAGTGGACTTGTGTTCAATCCCTGGTCATGGAACTAAGATGCCAGCATGGCCTAAAAAAAAATAAATAAATAAAGGTAAACTACTGACCTCTTAGGCTTAACAGCTCCAACTGTAGAGGGAAAAAATGCCTAGATTGAAATCTTGACTCTGGCACTTACAACCTCTGTGATCTTGAGCAAGTTACTTAACCCCACACTTGTAAAATATTGACAATAATAGTGAGAGTTGATTTGTTTTGGTTTTTTATTTTTTTTTCATTTATTTTTATTAGTTGGAGGCTAATTACTTTACAATATTGTAGTGGTTTTTGCCATACATTGACATGAATCAGCCATGGATTTACATGTGTTCCCCATCCCAATCCCCCCTCCCACCTCCCTCTCCATCCCATCCCTCTGGGTCTTCCCAGTGCACCAGGCCCGAGCACTTGTCTCATGCATCCAACCTGGGCTGGTGATCTGTTTCACCCTTGATAGTATACTTGTTTCAATGCTGTTCTCTCAGAACATCCCACCCTCGCCTTCTCCCACAGAGTCTAAAAATCTGTTCTGTACATCTGTGTCTCTTTTTCTGTCTTGCATATAGGGTTATCGTTACCATCTTTTAAAATTCCAAATATATGCGTTAGTATACTGTATTGGTGTTTATCTTTCTGGCTTACTTCATTCTGTATAATGGGCTCCAGTTTCATCCAGTAAGAGTTGATTTGAAACAGTTAATAAGTGTTCATGTACCACCCCAAACAGACAGTAAATATTCAATATTGTTAGCTTTTTTATGTTTACATTTTTAGAGTTTTATATATAGTGGGTTAGCTTTATATTAGTACTTGGCATCTTTAATCACTCAGAAAGATTGTTCCCTTAAAGCATTCTGTCTAAACTCTTTTGATTAAGGAAAGAATTAAAATCATTTGGTATCTGTGGTCCTAGACAATGTTGCAAGGGTTTGTAGGGTAGAAATCTTCAACCCTTTACATTTTCCAACTCTGTGATTAATTTTCCAATAACTGCAAGCTACTGGGTTTTGTCTTCATTGTAGACATTGCCCTTGGCTAACTGTGACATATTAAAAATTTTAACCGTTTCACACTTTTCAGGTTTAAGAGGACACTTTTAGGGTAACTGACCAGTTCCATTATATATTAAGTTCTTGGAATTTTTAAATGTCAATACATATATATCTTATGAGTAAAATCATTCATTTAAATTTTTTATTATTGAGTGCTTAGTTTCTGTAAGCTTTATGCTAGGTACTGCAGAAACATTGGTGAGTATAAATATACTGTGTACTCATGCAGTCTAGTAAGGGATAGACGTTAATCTAATTAATACAAGTTCAGTTCAGTTCAATTGCTCATTCCTGTCTGACTCTTTGCAACCCCATGAACTGCAGCATGCCAGGCCTCCCTGTCCATCACCCTGCGAGTCCAGGGTTTACCCAAACTCATGTCCATTGAGTTGGTGATGCCATCTAACCATCTTATCCTCTGTCGTCCCCTTCTCCTCCTGCCTTCAATCTTTCCCAACATCAGGGTCTTTTCAAATGAGTCAGCTCTTCGCATCAGGTGACCAAAATATTCAGCTTCAACATCAGTCCTTCCAATGAACACCCAGGACTGATCTCCTTTAGGATGGACTGGTTGGATCCCCTTGCAGTCCAAGGGACTCTCAAGAGTCTTCTCCAACACCACAGTTCAAAAGCATCAATTCTTTGGCACTCAGCTTTCTTTATAGTCCAACTTTCACATCCATACATGACCACTGGAAAAACCATAGCCTTGACTAGATGGACCTTTGTTGACAAAGTAATGTCTCTGCTTTTTTATATGCTGTCTAGGTTGGTCATAACTTTCCTTTCAAGGAGTAAGCGTCTTTTTTTTTTCTTCAAGCGTCTTTTAATTTCATGGCTACATTCACCATCTGCAGTGATTTTGGAGCCCCCCAAAATAAAGTCTGCCACTGTTTCCACTTTTTCCCCATCTATTTGCCATGAAGTGATGGTACCAGATGCCATGATCTTAGTTTTCTGAATGTTGAGCTTTAAGCCAACTTTTTCACTCTCCTCTTTTACTTTCATCAAGAGGCTCTTTAGTTCTTCACTTTATGCCATAAGGGTGGTGTCATCTGCATATCTGAGGTTATTAATATTTCTCCCGACAGTCTTGATTCCAGCTTGTGCTTCCTCCAGCCCAGCATTTCTCATGATGTACTCTGCATATAAGTTAAATAAGCAGGGTAACAATACATAGCCTTGACGTACTCCTTTTCCTATTTGGAACCAGTCTGTTGTTCCATGTCCAGTTCTAACTGCTGCTTCCTGACCTGCCTACAGGTTTCTCAAGAGGCTGGTCAGGTGGTCTGGTATTCCCATCTCCTTCAGAATTTTCCACAGTTTATTGTGATCCACACAAAGGCTTTGGCCTAGTCAATAAAGCAGAAATAGATGTTTTTCTGGAAGTCTCTTGCTTTTTTGATGATCCAGAGAATGTTGGCAATTTGATCTCTGGTTCCTCTGCCTTTCCTAAACTAGCTTGAACATCTGGAAGTTCATAGTTCATCTACTGTTGAAGCCTGGCTTAAGAGAATTTTGAGCATTACTTTACTAGCATGTGAGATGAGTGCCATTGTGTGCTAGTTTGAGCTTTCTTTGACATTTCCTTTCTTTGGAATTGGAATGAAAACTGACCTTTTCCAGTCCTGTGGCCACTGCTGAGTTTTCCAAATTTGCTGACATATTGAGTGCAGCACTTTCACAGCATCATCTTTTAGGATTTGAAATAGCTCAACTGGCGAAGTAAGCCAGAAAGATAAAGACCATTACAGTATACTAACACATATATATGGAATTTAGAAAGATGGTAATGATAACCCTATATGCAAAACAGAAAAAGAGACTCCGATGTATAGAACAGACTTGTGGACTCTGGGAGAAGGCGAGGGTGGGATGTTTCAAGAGAACAGCATCGAAACACATATATTATCTAGGGTGAAACAGATCACCAGCCCAGGTTGGGTGCATGAGACAAGTGCTCGGGCCTGGTGCACTGGGAAGACCCAGAGGGATCGGGTGGAGAGGGAGGTGGGAGGGGGGACCGGGATGGGGAATACATGTAAATCCATGGCTAATTCATTTCAATGTATGACAAAAACCACTGCAATGATGTAAAGTAATTAGCCTTCAACTAATAAAAATAAATGAAAAAAAAAAGAAAAAAGAAATAGCTCAACTGGAATTCCATTGCCTGCACCAACTTTGTTCGTAGTGATACTTCCTAAGGCCCACTTGACTTAACATTCCAGGATGTCTGTCTCTAGGTGAGTGATCACACCATCATGATTATCTGGATTGTGAAGATATTTTTTGTATATTCTTCTGTGCATTCTTGCCACCTCTTCTTAATATCTTCTGCTTCTGTTAGGTCCATACCATTTCTGTCCTTAATCGAACCCATCTTTGCATGAAATGTTCCCTTGGTATCTCTAATTTTCTTGAAGAGATCTCTAGTCTTTCCCATTCTATTGTTTTCCTCTATTTCTTTGCACTGAGCGCTGAGGTAGGCTTTCTTATCTCTCCTGCTTTTCTTTGGAACTCTGCATTCAAATTGGTATATCTTTCCTTTTCTCCTTTGCTTTTTCACTTCTCTTCTTTACACAGCTATTTATAAGGCCTCCTCAGACAGCCATTTTGCTTTTTTGCATTTCTTTTTCTTGGGGATGGTCTTGATCCCTGTCTCCTGTACAGTGTCACGAACCTTCATCCATAGTTCATCAGTCACTCTATCAGATCAGTCCCTTAAATCTATTTGTCACTTCCACTGTATAATCATAAGGGATTTCATTTAGATCATACCTGAATGGTCTAGTAGTTTTCCCTACTTTCTTCAATTTAAGTCTGAATTTGGCAATAAGGAGTTCATGATCTGAGCCACAGTCAGTTCTCGGTCTTGTTTTTGCCGACTGTATAGAGCTTCTCCATCTTTGGCTGCAAAGAATATAATCAATCTGATTCCTGTTGCTATGAAGCTAACTGCATAAGCTATGAGAATGTTTAATAGAAGGACTTGATTTTATCTGGGAATTGAAAGAAGACATCCTACAAGTAGAGTTCAGATCTGTGAAGAATCAGGCTTACTAGTGATAAGGGGGTGGACCAAGGTGATAGGTAAAAAAAAACAGCATGTGGCAATCCAAGGCTTTGAGGCAGAAGACTGAAGAATGCCTTTGAGGGGCTGAAAGACTACGACAGACAGGGGAAAGTAGGACTTGTTCATCCTGATCCATTGAAATCATTAGGAAGTTTAGTCTAGATTTACGGTATTGTTTGTTTTAAATAGGTATTTTGTATATTTTAAAATTAGCATCTATATTTTTAAATGCCATTTAAGCCTGCAAATATCTTTTGCTTTACTGAAGTCTATGCTTAGTTTTGTCATATCACTTATTTTTTTATTTAATGGATTTGATTTGGGGGTTTTAGAGGAGAAACGAGTAATTTTAGAATGTTTTGAGTCCTTAGGTATCAGAAAATGGTTTTATCTTTTGCTTTCTCTTCAATAATATAATTATTTTACTTGGGAACATTGACTACATGACTCCCTTGTGATTTTTACATCTAGTGTATGTGCAAGAATGCTGATGCCATCCCTATTCTTGTTATTTTATAGTTCTCTACTACTACTTCAGTTTCTAGGTGGTTCTCTTCAAATCCTTTGGAAAAGTCAGTAGGATGCTTATTAGGTGGTTATTTGAAATCTTTAACTCTGTCCTTCATAAAGGTCTTACCATTTCCTGCATGCTTCTTATCTATACTTTTTTGCTTTGTTCTGAGAATTCCTTGGCTCCTTTTCTCTGATTTTTAGATTCCATCCATGTCTATTATGCTGTTGTTAACGCTTTATTCATTAGAGCTTCATTTGGGCAGTCATATTTTGGGTTTTTCTAAGAACTTTTCATATCAGCATCTTTCGTAATCTTTTATCGATTTTTACATTCTTAAATTTCTCTGAGGATATATATTACATTTATCTGAGAAAACATATTTTTAAATGTTTACATTATTTTCCAAAATTTGATCCTCTGAAAAAGCTAATAACATGAAAAAGAGGGCATTAGTTTCAGCAAATATTTGGTGTTTCTGATTTTAGAATTTTGAGATTAATAGATATTGGTAGCTAGATGTATTCATTGCTCAGTGGAATATCTCTAGAAATTTCTTACTCTTCAAATCTGTTAACAGGTTTCCTAGATTGCTAGTATTGTTATGGATTATATTGCTATCTTTTCTTCATTTCACTGGGATTTAAAGAGGAAAAAGAATTGTGTATATTTAGCTAGCCACTTGAAACCAGTCTGTTGGTCAGTGAGTAGAGTACAAGAATAGGCAATCTATTATTCCATTAAAGCCATGAAGAAAAAGAAAACGGAGTTATATAAGAAAATGAGTAGCCTTTGAAGTTAGATTGCTAAATTCACATTTTGACCATACCACTTATTTACCATCTCCCCTTAGGCAACCTTCTCTGTGCCTGTTTTTTGAGGGTTTTTTAAGTTTTCTTGAGGGAAGGGGTGTTTGTTTTGGTTGTTTTGGCTAAAATGAAAACAATAATAGAACCTACCTTTTAGAGTTGTTGCGAGAAATAAATTAATCCACATAAAGCACTTAAAACAATGTGTGGCATAAACTATAATTGTTAGCTGCCATCATCATCATCATCAGGACATTTTGAAATTGTAAAGGAACAAGCTGAATTATTTGGCCAGTAAGTAAATAGCCTACTTGGAATACATAATTCATACTGGGAAATAATAGGTGACGTGTTGAAAAAGTCAGTTGGAATCAGATCCTAAATGTCTTGAGTTCCAGGCTGAGAAGTACCTAATACTGAGGAGGAAACAAACTCAGAAAAGTTACACAGCAAACCCTAAATTGCTGAAGGAAAAGGGTCTACAAATTGAACTCCTTTCTGTATTTCTTTCTAATCCATAGGGCTTCTCGATGAAGGTACTGTATATAGGGAGATTATTTCAGTAATACTCATAAGACCTAAATATAAGTGTGGCAGGAGGAAATGGCAAGAAAGGGACAAGTTCCAAAAATGAATGTAATGGAAAAAAATGGTCTTTCCTTTCTAGCTCTAACATGAGTGTGTTGACCTTTTTACCCTTGTTAAGGTTTAGAAATGAAATCTTTTCATCATATGGTCACTTTTTATTTTCAGCATTTGTAAAATGTGCTCTTCTCTTCTTTGTCTTTCTGCAGGTTTTAGATGGAGCAGGATTAGATATTGATTTCCATCTTGCTTCTCCAGAAGGAAAAACCTTAGTTTTTGAACAAAGAAAATCAGATGGAGTTCACACGTAAGTAATCTCTTAGTTGGGTTCCATGATCTGAATACCAGTAGGAACAGGGAAATTCAGCATATTTGATACTAAGTATTAGCATTAAATGATTCCATATGAACATTTTAAACAGTCCTTTTCGGTGATCTCTCTTAAACTAAAATATCATCAGTTCATCTTTTATCTTTTTGTTTAGGCATTTTCTTTTTTTTTTTTTTTAATTTTTTTCATTTATTTTTATTAGTTGGAGGCTAATTACTTTACATCATTGCAGTGGTTTTTGTCATACATTGAAATTAATTAGCCATGGATTTACATGGCATTTTCTTTTGATCTTGACTGAGTTTTTGCTTTGCTTTGATTAATGAGATGAGTATTCCACAGGTACTGCATTCAGTCTACTGAGGCATTTTAAAAACTGCCTTTCTGGCCACCACAGGCTTTTTCTGTTATAAGTTACTATTCCAGGTATATATCTTAAACTTCTGGCTGTATCATTTTTGCCAGTAGTTTTCTTAAAACAACAGTACAGTGATACATCTTTGCATGTGTGTGTGTGTGTGTGTGTGTAAATTTTTATTTTCTTCAAATGTCACTCTTTTTAGATAATTAGAAGACCTGAAAGTAACAGATCTTACCACAGGAAACCCTATAGAAAATGCTTTTTATAATTTTATACTGAAATAAAATATAAAAGTTTAGAATTTGATAAAAGGCCATATATTGTATCTCATTTCTCTTTTTTCATCTCACCAGTGTTTCCGTTTCATTGTATTATTTTACTGTAGCACTTTGTTTACTCAGTATTGTTAATGTGTTTAAACTGTGAGTATTAAAAAAAATAAACTGTGAGCATATAGGAATAAGAAAATCAAATATGGAGTGTCCAATATTTGCCATAAACTAGACTTTTCATTTTATATGCTTCTAAATTAATCATTCCAACCCACTGTGAGAGACAGATTCTTTGATTCTCCAATTCCCATTTTACAGACAAGGAGGCTTAGAGAAGTTAAATAAGACTGCAGGGATATACATTTATTAGGAGGAAGCAGAATGAACCAAAATTTTTGCTTCTACTATACAATGCTTAGAATATCTCTAGCACATAGCACTATGTAAGTACTAGCTATTTATAATCACTGGTCTTTGTTAACCAAAGTACCTGGCATATAACTGATACTCAGTAAATATGAATACATGTATGAGTGAACGAGGTGGGAAAATGTCTCAACCATAGTTTTCTAAGATACTCATTTTAGTGTGCTTTCGAAAATGCCATTTTACCTATGCAGAGTTCTAAAAAAAAAAATAAATTACTGATAAATAAAATCGGAAGTGGTAACTTTAAGTCAGTTAAGGTGGCTATAGCAGAATTAACTATGCTTTCTCTTTGATAGGTATATGAACAAGAACCAAAAATGAAGTTCATCTTTAAATTTCAGAATATAGAAAATGTATGAATTTCTGTCAATATTAATTACTCTCCCATTTTCTGCTTTCATTTAGAGACTGGGGTGAAAGGTATGTTACTGCTTTCTTAAAAAGAATTGTTGTTCACTCACTAAGTTGTGTCCAACTCTTTGTGACCAGGCTCCTCTGTCCTCTACTATCTCGCAGAGTTTGCTCAGATTCATGGCCATTGAGTCAATGATGCCATCTAACAGTCTCATTCTCTGCTGTTCCCTTCTTTTGCCTTCAATCTTTCCCAGCATCAGGGTCTTTTCCAGTGAGTCAGCTCTTCACATCAGGTGGCCAAAGTATTGGAGCTTCAGCATCAGTCCTTCCAATCAGTTTTCACGGTTTATTTCCTTTAGGATTGACTGGTTTGAGCTCCTTGCAGTCCAGGGGACTCTCAAGAGTCTTCTCCAGCACCACAGTTTGAAAGCATCAATTCTTTGACACTCAAGCCTTCATTATGGTACAGCTCTCACATCCGTACAGGACTACTGGAAAAACCATAGCTTTGACTATACAAACCTTTGTTAGCAAAGTGATGTCTCTGCTTTTTAATATGCTGTCTAGGTTTGTCATAGCTTTCCTTCCAAGAAGCAAGTGTATTTTAATTTCATGGCTGCAGTCACCATTTGCAGTGCTTTTGGAGCCAACAGTTAAAATCTGTCACTTTCTTTCCAACTTTTTCCCCATCTCTTTGCCATGAAGTAATCGCCTGGATGCCATGATCTTAGTTTTATGAATACAGAGTTTTAAGCCAGCTTTTTCACTCTCCTCTTTCACCTTCATCAAGAGACTTGTTTAGTTCCTCTTCACTTTGTTTCATCTGAAGAGTGGTATCATCTGCATATCTGAAGTTTATATTTCTCTTGGCAATCTTGATTCCAGCTTTGTGATTCATCCAGCCTGGCATTTCACATGATGTACTCTGCTTAAAAGTTAAATAAGCAGGGTGACAATATATAGTCTTGTCATACTCCTTTCCCAATATTGAACCCATCACTTGTTCCGTGTCTGGTTCTAACTATTGTTTCTTGACTCACATACAAGTTTCTCAGGAGACTAGTAAGGTGGTCTGATACTCCTAGCTCTTTAAGAAATTTCCACAGTTTTGTTGTGATCCATACAGTCAAAGGCTTTAGCGTAGTCAATGAAGCAGAAGCAGATGTTTTTCTGTAATTCTCTTGATATCTCTATGATCCAACAATATTAGCAATTTGATCTCTGGTTCCTCTGCCTCTTTGAAACCCAGCTTGTACATCTGGAATTTCTCAGTTCACATACTGCTAAAGCCTAGCTTGAAGGATTTTGAGCATAAATTTACTGGCATGTAAAATGAGTGCAACTGTACAGTAGTTTGGTATTGCCCTCTAAATTGGAATGAAAAAATTGACCTTTTTCAGTCATGTGGCCCCTGCTGAGTTTTCCAAGTTTGCTGACATACTGAGTGCAGCACTTTAACAACATCATCTTTTAGGATTTTAAATAGCTCAGGTGAAATTTTATCACCTCCACTAGCTTTGTAGTAATGATTCCTAGGCCCACTTGACTTCACACTGCAGCATGTCTGGCTCTAGGTGAGTGACCACATAAAACTGTCTCTCATTAAACAACTGGGGAAAAAGAATGAGTTTATAAGTGTTCTTTTGATATGCCAGGTCACTGTTCTAAGCACTTTACATGTATTAATTTTTTTTTATTCTTCCCTATAGTCCTTACTATCATTTTAGCAATGAAGGAATTGAGGCATAGAGCAAAGTAAATTGCTGCAGGTTACACAGCTAATGAACAGCAAAGCCGGGATTTAAAACAAGTTAGCCACTCACTCTTAATCACTATACCAAATTTACAAATCTACTTTCTAAAAGCTAAAATGAAAATTTCATCTTTAGCTATATTAACTTTTCAAAAAATTAGTTAATTTTTGGTTGTACTGGGTCTTCATTGCTGTGCACTGGCTTTCGCTAATTGTGGGCTCCTCTTGGTTGCCGAGCTCGGGCTTCTTTCTCATCGCAGTAGCTTCTCTTGTTGCAAAGCACAGGCTCTCGAGCGTGCAGGCTCGGTAGTTGTGGTGCACAAGCTTAGGTGCTACAGGGCATGTGAAATCTTCCCAGACCGGGACTGAACCCAGGTGCCCTACATTAGTAGGTAGATTCTAAACCACTGTACTACTAGGGAAGTCCCTTAACTTTTTAAAGGCAGTTAAAATCTGTTATGCCACTGAAATAGTTTTTTCTTAAACCTTTGAAACAAATACTGTCCTTCCAAAAGTTGAGGTTAGTAAAAAAATGTCTCCAGACAGAGCCTTAAACAGCTTAAGTAATACCTATTTGTCCAGCACTGTCATATGTATCATTTTTCTAGACTACTAAATTAGTTATTACCCTAACTCATACCAGAACTTAAGTCTTCCCCCAAAATTCAAAGATTAACAGAGATAAAATGTATAAAACTGTGTAAATTATGAAGGGATATATAAGTATTGGAGAAGGAAATGGCAGCCCACTCTAGAAATCTTGCCTGGGAAATCCCATGGACTGAGCCTGGTGGGCTGCAGTCCATTGAGTCACAAAAGTGTTGGACACAAGTGATTGTGCACATAGAAGTTTTAACTAGAGAAGGGCATGGCAACCCACTCCAGTATTCTTGCCTGGACAACCCCATGGACAGAGGAGCCTGATGGGCTACAGTCCATGGGATCGCAGAGTCAGATGCAACTGAGCACGCGTGCCTTCAGGCAGTGGCTGTTTTTATTTATAGTATATATACTAAAAACCAGTCACATTGCTAAGTAGTCATCTCTTAAGCTTAAACACAGTAAATTACAAATAGGGGGAAGAAAAACAAGACTGGCTTAAAAGATGAAGATCACAGAAGGCGATAGAAGATAAAGCAAGGCACCTCAGAAATTGAAGATCAAACGTATAACATCCACAAGAGAGCCAACGGCATCGTTTGGCCTGTGTAGGCCTCCTCTTACCATATGACTTGTAGATCAAGTAGTCAGTCATTCAGAAGTCTTCCAATCACAGCTATTTGCTAGCAGTCTGTAGCACTGTTCCTGCATGTTTTGTGTACCTTCCAAGAGCTCATCCTTCTTGTGATATGCCCAAGAAAACCCAATGAGAGAAAATTAAAATACTAATACTAAAGAATAAGATTTTGTCAGGATTGAGCTTTGAAGCAATACTATCATAGCTAATTTTTTTTTTTGCCCCATCTTGAATGAGTTTTCACCCCTATAGGGCAGTATCTCCTCATTGAGAATGTGTAGACTAAGAATGCTGCCCTTCAGAATACATATGGTGGTTATATGCTTACTGGATCAGTGATACCATTAATCAGAATATAGTGGAAATTTTACCTTGGAAAATGCCCCACATCTAGGTTATTTTACATAATAGTCACAACATTTTTGTTTTGTTCCTTTTAATATTGTTCCCCTATATCCATACCAGTGTTTGCTTTAGACTCCTTCAAAGGTTAAATGTGTCTCCAAAGACAAAGGTATGTCATAATTAAGGACACTGCAAAGAATACAGAAGGCTTCTAGCAGTATTGCAGAAAGATCAATTAATACCGAAGGTCAAAAGTTCAAGCTTCTCTATTCTTAGAACAGGCTATGTGATTGTGGGCAAGAAACATATCTATGTGAACCTTATTTTACTTGCCTTGAAAAGGCCAATTATGCTTAAAAACGATACGTGAAAGCAGTGTGTAAATTATGAAGAGGTATATAAATACTGGCTATTTTTATTAATGGTGATATATGCTAAAATCAAATCACATTGCTGAGTACTTACATATTATACCTAAACAAACCTAGGTCAGAAATAAGGGGTGAGGGGAGAGATGGAGATGGCTTAAAAGATGAGAATCACATGTTGTTCAGAAGGCTATAGAAAATGATGTAATCTGCCCCAAAATTTAAGCGATCCAGCATATTGGATAAGGAAACTTCGAATTTAGACCAACCTTCATGAATAGTCACAAAAAAACCTAAAACAGTTTGAACTTTGTTGTTTTTGTGGCCAGCAGTAGTAAATGTCATTAGCCTGTGTTCAAGTTTGTTAAAACTTCTCTCCACAAAAAATTAGAACACTATTTTGCTAAATTAACTGTGCCTAGGCCAATTATCTTTAATGTGAAGATCAAGATCATTTAAATTACGAGTGGCATTTATTCAGTAAAGGTAATGCCACCATGAGTAATCCTCTCATTCTTCACCACTGAACTCATTCCTAATCTTTGTAAATGAAGTGAAGTTGCTCAGTCGTGTCCAACTCTTTGCGACCCCATGGACTGTAGCCTACCAGGCTCCTCTGTCCATGGGATTTTCCAGGCAGTAGTACTGGAGTGGATTGCCATTTCCTTCTCCATGGGTTCTTCCTGACCCAGGGATCGAACCTGGGTCTCCCGCATTGTAGACAGACGCTTTACCCTCTGAGCCACCAGGGAAGTCCTAATCTCTGTAAACTGTATTATAATTATGTACTTAATCCAAAGGGGCCGACAATGAAGCATTCAGGAAAACCCATTGTTTTTGGAAAAAAAAAAATCTCACTTTACAAATTAATCTCAAAAGTGGAGGTCTGTAGTGATGTTTCCATATGAGTTGAACTCATTATAAATTACTTTAAATAAGACATAAATATTAAGGTTCACTCTGAGGTATCCTATCTAGGTTTTTAATCCTGCTCCAGTGTCAAGCACATTTAAGTTGCAAGTACTTGAATATCTATTTTCAGGTTACTGCTTTCAAGAAATTATACATTGTCTTTTCAGTACTACGGAGGTCTTTCTGTCAGTAAGCTTTCCAGTTATAAATCATGTTATTTCTTCTTTTACTATAGTTTTTTCTTTAATCCCAGATGAAGTACAGATAACTGAGGACAGTTTCTTTTTTTAATACAGGGTAGAGACTGAAGTTGGTGATTACATGTTCTGCTTTGACAATACATTCAGCACCATTTCTGAGAAGGTGATTTTCTTTGAATTAATCCTGGATAATATGGGAGAACAGGAGCAAGAACAAGAGGACTGGAAGAAATACATTACTGGCACAGATATGTTGGATATGAAACTGGAGGACATTCTGGTCAGTATAGTTTTTTTTTTTTTTTTTTAGAATAAAATAATAAAAAGTTGCTAACATCTAGAGACTTTACCATGTGATAGGCACTGAGCTGGGTATTATCTACATTCTCTTACCCTAATCCTTACTTAAATCTATGAGGATTATCATCCCCATTTTCCAGTGAGGAAATTTATGGATTAGGGATATTTGGTAATTGTCTCTGTGACAGAACCACAGAGAGGAAAACTCAAATTTGAACATATGCTCTTAACTACAGAACTCTCTTAGAATGTTCAAACAGAGGATTGTAATAATGATCTGCAGAATGCTTACACACAAAATTGAGTAATTTTTAAACACTTAAAATATACAGGAATTTTCCCCCACAACACAAATTTTATAATGTGAAATTTGGTATCACTTGATTAATTTGGGGAACAATGTTAACATAACTCAGCCAAACCTAGTAGTTATCAGAAACTACCACTACCCTCAGGAGTAAAAGCTTCTTTGCTTGAATTGCTTTATGCTTTATTTATCATAAACATGCATAAAGAAGTGTGCATGTTTATGAACCTGTTTACTAATGATTGTATTGCCAGTGTTGGGGAGAAAGGTCATTACCCTTCAGCCACTAGATGTAATCAACTGATAGAATTTATTCAGCAATATTATAAACAGCATATATATGTTACAGAACTTTCTGTAGGAGAAATAATGTGATTATTCCAAATTTGAAACTGTAATGTATAGCCTCTAATACTCATAACCTGAACTGTTTTTTTATAGTGTGATATTTTGATCATGTTAAGGTTTCTTAAGAAAACAACTATCAAATTATAAAAGAAAAGACATATTGTAAGATCAGTTAGCTAAGTTGGAAAATTAAGTGATCATATCATATGTGTAATTCCTTAGTGACTGAGCCCTCTAAGCCTTGGTGTCCTATCACCCTTGGGAATACCACCTCTAGAGTTGTGAGGATGAAAGGTGATATGGCCTATCTATAAATGCTTAAAACAGCATCTAGCAAACAGTAAGTGTTAGTTTTCTTACCTTTAACATTGGTGTTAACTGTGAATACAAACTGAAATGATTAAGTTTTGATTACCATGAATATTTACCATGACAATTTTGATCTCATCATCTCATATGTATACTAAATTTAGTTGAATTTGAGATTCAGAAGAAGACTTAGTTATCATTAGTCCAGCTCCAAACTCCCTTTCCCCTTTTATTCCATTTTGTAGATAAGGAACTGGCTTAAAATGGAAATGATGCATCCATAGTCTTGCTTGCTACTATGGATAGAAATCCAATCTTTTTCCCACTCATTTTTAAAATCTCAATCATATTAATATATTCTTCCATTTTAAATTTATATTGCCAACAAGTGCAAAATACAAGTAGCTGTAAATTTTATTAATATTAATACTTCACTGATTTCTCAAGAAATTGACTTCATTCACAATTAAACAAAATGACCAGAAAGTTCAGATTTAAATAAGGCTTAAAATACTTAGTCTTTGTTAAAGAAAAATAAAGTGTCTTTCAGGAGTTTTTCCACTTACATCCCCCCATCAAAATTTTTTTATCACAGCAGCAAACTTGAATAAACAATTTTATACTTAGCTGTCATCATCTGATATTGAAAAGAACTATGCATGGTCTTTTCATTTGGGGATCTCAGTCTCACATTTTTCTGGAAAATATTTGCATTATTAGATTACCATTGCTTTACAAATACACATATATGACAAATACACTTTTTTTTTAATACTTTGTGGTTTTGTAGGCTTAGCAGAGCACTGAAATTTTGTGTATATTTTTTGCTTTTAAATGAGGATTTTAAGCAAGGTGACTATACAGGAAAATCTGTTTCTGTTATTTTCTTACTTATGCCATCAATACTTTGACATAATTTCTAATCTCAATTTTACCCTATATTCATGTAAACCTTTTATAGTTTTTAAATCACTTCTCACCAGGACCCTACTAAAAAATTTTTTTTCAGATGTGCAACTCAGACTGCATCTTGGTAAGCTTGTTTTATGAATGTAATCTTGGAACATTTCCATAATAAAAACATTTCTTATGATTGTTAGGGCTAACAAGATAATGTATGTAAAATTACTGGCACTGCAGCACTCAAATGTATTTTCATATTTTTTCAATTCCCAATAGCTTTGTTCTCTTTGAGAATTATAAACAATAATTTAAATATACTAAACATTATGTAAGATATTTAGTTAAATCTTAAATAGTACCGACCCCTTAATTAAAACTGTTTTTGGATATTAAACTAGTAAGAGTACAGTGAAGCACAGTTTTAAATTAAAATTACTGAGCATTCTTTTACAATAAAATTATTTTATTTATCTCCAGGAGTCTATCTACAGGATCAAGTCCAGACTAAGCAAAAGTGGTCACATCCAAACTCTGCTTAGAGCATTTGAAGCACGTGACCGAAACATACAAGAAAGCAACTTTGATAGAGTCAATTTCTGGTCTATGGTTAATTTAGTGGTAATGGTTGTAGTGTCAGCCATTCAAGTGTATATGCTGAAGAGTCTATTTGAAGATAAGAGGAAAAGTAGAACTTAAAATTCCAGACTACTTAACATTCACAAAAAGGGACAGAAAGACGCAATAAACTGTTACAGTCAAGACCATTAACAGTCTTTTCCAAAACATTTTCAGGCATTACCATTAAGTGTGAAATAAGTATAATTTTAATATGAAAGGAAAGGCTTAACTTTCATCTGTGCAAGTGATCTTATTGTTCCGATTATACTTAAGTGTATAGCAAATATTGTGCAGGTATAAATGAATGAAGCCATGTTATTAACAGTAGTTTCCTAAGTTTGCAAAAGTTTTGCAAATGTCATTAGGTGATTTAAATAAATGAACTTTCGGCCTAAATGTAACACTGAACAATGTTTTTAGAAGATTGTTACCCAGAAATGTCTTTGTAAATGTGGCAATTACAAATTAATTGTAGTTTTTCAGTATATCAAGTTATAAATCATACGAGAATTATCTAATCATGGATATCTTTAGAAAACAAAAACTCAACTTTTCTCTTTTTACATATGTATCTCCTAAATGTATATAGAAACATAGCTGTGAAAAAAAGGTATGTCGGATGTTTTATAACCAAATATGTTAAAATATTAACAAAAAGTATTAGTTTTATATACCTAGCCTACATTCCCAAAAGCTGACTTTTGAATAGTTCTTAAAAATACTAAGAACATAGTTATCAAAAATAGGACAGATTTTCTCTTTGAAGTGAATAAAGATCGTTCCCAATTTCTGTAAGGCTATATTCTCTCTAATAGTTAACTAAGATATAGGATTTTTAAATTAAATGAGGGGAAATCATTTTATTTTTATATTATCAACAGTGTTATGTTATTTACTGACTTGGATGATACATTAATACCAACAGTTGTTTAGGAAATATTGCTAAAAGAATTTGGACCTAATGTTAAGTAAATATCTTGAGTTCTCAAAAATCATTAAAAAAAACCACCACAATAAAGTCAATATAAAAGAATTTAGGGAAATGAAAATATCTCATCAAAATAAAGTTTACTTAAAGTATCTAGAATCTGGCTTATCATAATCACTCAATCCTAATATAAACGAGATTAATTTCCAGTTGTTAGAGAAGTGTAGGTTTTATTTTTTAACAATTGTTTTAAATTATCATTTATAAGCATTTAGGTACAATATGGTATAAGCCCTACTAGTATAAATATTTATTAGTTTTTATTGTAATTTTCATAAAATGACCTTTCTGATCACTTTATTTATTGGCATTCAAATAAGAATTGAAAACCTACAGAAGTTTCAACATCAATATGTGAACAACCCTATAGCCTTTGCCATCATGTCTTAATCAAGTACTAGTATCTTAATAATTAAATAGAATTTTTAGCTTATTCCCACTTGTAATATTGTCATGTAAGGGTTAAAAACAATCAACTGATAGGTCCTGAGTACAGTTGGTTAGTACTGCTGAATTCTTAATAAGCAATAATGATATCCAGAGACAATGATGGTTTCATCTATAATTTATACTCAAGTGGTACAAAAAGAGATATTTCCCTCCATCTTATGTAATAATTTCCTCGAAGATTTCCCAACTCTGAGGCTTTTTTAAAATGAGATAAATGCCATGTTTAGGTGATTACCTTAATTGGCTAAGAAAATGCTTTTAAGTGTACAGGAGTAGCCCTTATAACATGAACAAGGGCCAGTAAGATTTTTGCTTGGAAGAGCTCTTTTTCCTCTTCTGATAAACTAATAATGAGAAGCGAATGTAAAGTACTATAGCTAACGAAACAGTACAGATTTAAACTACTGCATCTTTTCTATAAAACTGTGATTAAGAATTCTACCTCTTATGTGTGGCTGGTCACTGTACTTACTGTACTGATTCTATACCTAACAATGGATTTGTTACATCATCTACATTTGATTTGTGCCACTGACTTTTTTAAACCTTTGATTCAGTAACTTCCTATTATATAATAATGGCCTTATTTAGAAAACAAAGAATTTAGGGATATTGAGGACAATTTTATTTTTATAGACAAAGTGAAAACAGATTATTTAAGAAGCATGTTACCTGTATTAACCATAGAGTAAAATTTGTATGCAAAGAACTAAATTCTTTAATATTTCTAAAAGCTTATTGTTTATCTGCATCATATGGTTTTAGTGTATTCAATTTTGACATTAAAATTATGCTAAAAGTGAAAAAAAATTATACTAAAAGTGAGTAAGCTGTCACTTGGCAGCTTATTTTATCATTACTTTTTTAGTCATATAAACTTCTAAAATACTAGAATACTTAACTAAGGCCTAGAGTTTAACTATGATTTGCATTTGGATCCTTAATGATTGGTTTTCTTTTATGTGAATGTCAAGTTAATAGATAAGTGGTTGAAATAGTATTGAAATAAAGTATAAACTGAAATGTCATTTTATTTTAGGTATGTTTATCCTTCTCAAGTATTGTTATGTCCTAAAATTGACAAAAATTGAATACCTATAATTGTATGCTTCCCCAAAGAAGATTTGTTTATCTGAAATTTTCAAAGATATTGATTCAGCATGTAATGGGTTTTCAGTTGAAATGTAATAATGCACAATTAGTGTTGCTTAAATGCTTTATACTTATGAACAGACACAGCCATATTAAATGAGCATTGAATACTGTGCTGAGTGTATACAATAAAAATTACAATCAAAGGATGTCTTATTTATCTACCAGTCATTATGTTGTCTAATCTTTAAAGCCTTCATTGAGTTCGTCTTACAAGTGTGCTCTCTACACTTTTTATTGTGAATCATTCTACCCTTCAATAGAGTTGTTTGTATATTTACTTGTTCTGCTGCTGCCCAAACATGTATTGTAACTAAGAGGTACTCAGAGGTACTCAAAATAGGCAGAGATTCAGTTCTGAGAGTCTGGAATGCTAAATAAGTACTCAGGGAGCTTTTTCTACTCTTCTACCCTATTATAAAAATTGATTGATTAGGATTGGAATTTGGTTCCAGAATCTTAATTAACACAATTTGGGATTCTGGTGTCTACATTATCCTTGGACCATTTGCTAACTGGGTGAACTTGGGAAATCAAGACTCTAGTTTCAGGACTTCAGTGGTTAAGACTGTGCTCCAAGTGCAGGGGCCTGGGTTCAATACATGGTCAGGGAACTGAGATCCCACATGCTGCAACTAAATAAATGGAGAAACATACGATATTCAAAGGTGAGAAGGCTCAACAAAATAAAAAAAAGTCAGTTCTTCCTAAACTGATCTATAAATTTAAAATAATTCTCATAAAAATCTAGCAAGATTTTTTTGTAGACAAGGACAAACATACACTAAAATTTATACAGAATGGAAAGGCAAAAGAAAAAGATAGTTTAGAAAAAGACTAAAGTCTACCTATATTGCCACTTAAATCAACACAGTGTGGTACCGGTGGAGGGATAGACACAATAGAAGAGACATTTTAGAATACACCAAAATAAGTCAAACTGATTTTTAACAAAGGTACAAAAGTAATTCAATAGGGGAAAAGACAGCCTTTTAAACAAAAGGTGCTGGAGCAACTGGGTCAAACATAGGTGAAAACATGAACTTAAATGTTAAAACTATAAAGCTTTTTGGAAAAAAAACTATGAGAAAAATCTTTAAGACTTAGGGCTAAACAAAGAGGTTCTATACTTGACACCTACTATATGACCCATAAAAGGAAAAACTGGACCTCATCCAAAATAAAACCTTTGCTCCATGACCTACTGAGGGGATGAAAAAATAAGCTACTGAAGGGGAAAAATATATGCAAATCACATATCCAAAGACTAGAATATACAAAGAATTCGCAAAGTCCAACAGTTAAAAAAATAAAACAGTTCAGTTAGAAAATGGGCAAACAAGATGAAGGGACATTTCACTGAAAATATATGGATGGCAAATAAGCACATGAAAATAATTTAATAATCATTAGCCATTAGGATAATTCCAGTTAAAACCACAATGAGATATCACTATACCAGAAAGGCTAAAATTTAAAAAATAGTTACAACACCAAATGCTGGGCAAGGATGCAAGAGAAATTAACTCACACTCTTACACTGCTAAGTGGGATATAAGATGGTAGAGTCACTCCAAAAATATTTGGGCCATTTCTTTTAAAACTACACATGCACTTACCATGCAGCCCAGCATTTATACTCCTGGACACACCTGTGATAAATGAAACCATATGCTCAAATAAAAACCTGTATACATACACACAGCGACTTCATTTGTAATAGTTCCAAACTGGAAATAACCCAAATTTTCTTTTAAAGAGTGAACAGTTAAATGTTGGTACATCCATATGATGGAATACTGAGCAGCAATAAACAGAATAAACTATTGATACATGCAATAATTTGGGTAGACTTCAAAGGAATTACAGTTGGGGGAAAAATCATAAAGCGTCACACACTGTAAGGAGGAAAGAAAGAGCTAAAACTGGCAGCTTTGTGGTGGAACAATTCAGTCTTGATAGTGACAGTTACACAAATCTAACACAATATAAAATTCAGAGGTATATATACACATACAAATGAGTGTTTGTAAAACTGGTGAAATGTAAATAAACTCTGGATTGTACCCATGTCAATTTTCCTGTACTAAATATTGTACCATTATGTTAACATCACCATTGGAATATATGAAAAGTACACAGGAACTAACTCCCTCTTTTTTTTTTTTGCAATCTCTTGTGACTCTATAATTATTTCAAAATAAAAACTTAAAAATGAGGCAGGTGAATTTTATACAACAACAGACATTACTGTGTTGTAATATACATATTTCTGAATGAGCCCAGGAATAAATAAAATAATTTAACTTCATGCTAAATAAAACCAAAATATTCTCATTGAAAAAGTCAAATTGTCAGGACTCTCCTGGTGGTCCAGTGGCTAGTGCTTCACACTCCCAATGCAGGGGGCCTAGATTCAATCCCTGGTCAGGGAACTAGATCCCACATGACACAACTAAGAGTTTGCAAGCTGTAACTAAGACCTGGC